TTTGAATCGATCAATTGTTTAAATAAAAGCGATAATAGACGAACAATTTCAACGAAACCGTCTAAGAACGATTATAAGCTACGGAAAAAAAACAAAATAGACTATATATAGGTAGTATAAATTATTATTAAAATCAAATATTTCAATAGTGTATAGTTCTTTCAAATAATAATTGTATAAAATATACGTTTAAGGTAGGTATCTCACTTGAATAATTGATTTAACAAAAAAAGTGGTAAAATACAAATTAATATTTTATTTACATAATTTCCGTAATTATATACGAACAATATATATTTTACTAATATTATTCCAATCATATAAATATGACAAAGGTACACGTTTATCGGGTATAGGGAAAAAAAGAGTGAAATAAAGTAAATACATTTGGACACACGATTACCATATTATAAATATGCTGCGCGTATTGTTTAGTATTGACACACGTACTTCGTACACGCACACACACACACACACACACACACGCATGAACGAATAAAACAAAATACGTATCGTATTTAATATTCTATATAATTTTTGGCTCGTGTCGATGTTCGCCGAGCATTATAATCACCAAATTTACGGAAAATAAAAAATATATATATAAAACCAACAGCGCCGATTTGAAACGAACAATATCACAAATCGTGACTATATAATAATATTATAATACCATCGCAGCGACGTACATGGCGTACAGTCTCGTGCCGGACGCGAGACACAAGAAAAAATTTAATATAATATTATAATATTATAAGTAGACGGGTACCTACCTATATAATATGAAACGCGAGCGTTGTTGTTGTAATATTAAAATACTGTACACAATATAACGTTATCGTCGTGCGGATAACAATGACCAAATTAAAACGACATTTAAACCGTTCGTTTTCGGGGTCCCGACGTGGGCGGAATTATATTGTTTTCGGAATTGGGTTTCCAACATATTTGCGGTGGACCGCAGAGCCGGCAGGGCAGACCGGTCGGCGCGCGATCAAACGCGCGCGGCGAAACAACAACACCCCGGCCACCATAAAAATAATAAAAAACAACCGAAATATAATAACTCGCACACGTATAATATTATAATTTTACTATACATAATAGTAATAATATAATATTATCACGGGAAATAAAAAATACGATTACACACATATATATAGGTACCTATTTGTATCTGCGTATAATATTCTATATTATAATTTAGTAGGTAGGTATACCTATATACACGGGTATTACATTATTATAGGCATTGTATACTAGCCGTGATACCTGCAGCAGCCTATAACGGATGAGAATTTAAATGATAAAATATCCGAAAAATAAAAATTCGCCGGCACGCAGTACTGCAGGTGCTAATGGGTTGTGTGTATAAAAAGGAAAAGAAAAAAAAAAACAACAACAACACGAGTCCGAGGGCTACTGAATATGTGCCTCGACGGGCGAGCGCGCGCGCCAGATAGGTAAACGGAGAGCGTAGGACGCGTGGGAACCACTCTTGGCGATGTATACCAAGGTCGTGTGCGATGGCGGCGGATTCGGCGGACGGTATCGATTACCGCACACACACGCACACACGCACGCAGACGCCAACTGTTGGCGAAAATAAACTTCTCTGCGAGCCTCGAGGGACCCGGAGAGCAGGTATCGCACGCTCATCTGAATCGCTATTAGCGGTTTACGATAAAAAAAAAAAAAAGAAAAAAACCACAGGTATTTACCGCTCTTAATATACCTACATAATGTTATATACCTACGTTTTATTTTATTATTTGAATTACAACCCGAGTCTTTCGCGAGTAGGCTATATTATATGACTGCATTATTATAATATATTATTTCCCCGCGTCGAAGATTTATTATCATATCGCATAACGGATGTTGTTAAACCGCCCGTTTATAAAGTCGTCATTATTATTATTAATATTACCTATATATAATATATAGGTAGAGGTATATACATATATATGTATACGCTGCAACACGAAACGACTTTAATTATTTTACGCTAACGATATTATAATACGATGATGCCCAAATACGTTCGGACCATATATATCAGGTATCAATCCAACCGTCTCAAGACCAGATAATATATTGTTGTATATATATATACCTAGCTATTAAATATGGGAACAATTTATAAAATTAGTATTTTAAACGGAGCCGACAGCTAATTCCTAATTGTTATTGGTAATCATTACCAAAAATAACCTAGCATAGATAGATAGGGTACATATTATATAGTCAGAAACTTTTCAGGGGTAACGAAGGCATCGTCGTTGTATACCCCTCTGTGACGTCCATAATATATAATAATTTTTATGGTCCGGATTAAAACTATCTAGAAACCATTACAAAATTACCAAAAATGTCCTGAAAAATGTCTTTTCAACACAATAATTCCCTTAAAAATAACCATGTAGGCGCGAAACTACGCAAGTGATGGGAAAATGAAGGTTTGAATTACGCTAATATTTAACACTTATTTATCTTAACTAAGCCAACAATAATACAAAAACGTAATATCGAACTTTGATCCACTTAATAAAAAAACATTATATGTGATGGAAATAAATGCGATCTCGACGTATCTTTAACTAACTAACTATAGTTGTCATTATTGGTTTGAGTATTTGATACCATATCCGACAATGGACATGGACAAAGATGTTATCACATTAATTTGTTTAAGGACTTACTGGATTTGATATAAATGAACAATACTTAGATACCAAAAAAGTACCTATTAAAGCAAATATTACGAAAACAATACTTCTTTAATTTTCTAATTTACACCATAAGCTCAAAGCCTCGAATAATGTACTGATAATATTATATTATGTACGAAAACTTCTCCAAAAATAAAAAAACATCGAATAAAGCAAAAAAATGTAAAACGAAAGTTTCACCTTTAAAGTACTTATAACTCGTGAGTATCTGTAACACATGAAATTAATTATTTGGGTACTTGCGGAATGCGCTGTAGGACAAACTCTCCTTCTTTCAGGAGAGCGCAATAAAAATAATGCACTTTGCGTTGAAACCCGGGCCCCAATTTAATATTATACCTCTAATCGTATGGTGATTTCCGCGGTCCGCGGTTTTTCACCCGATGTGTATGGCACGTGTACCTTATTACTTATTAGATACATATAGAAGTAGGTACCTATATACGTATAAACTCGACCCGACTTACGCACCACTATTATATAACCACGTACAATGTACCTATCCGTATTATATATTTTAATGTGTCTGCCGTGAAACTCCGGGATATTCAAATACACGCATTGCGCTGCAGCACTGCCTCGTTGATGGAAACCCATTGGTACGACGGCTGCGACAAAGAGTCGAAGGAGCCAATATAATATTATAAGTGTACATATAATATATATAATAATAATAATAATAGTAACAACAACAATAATATATATTTGTGCAAGTTAAATAATAACACTAATATACGCACACACACACAGACACACAGACACATACACACACAGACACACAGACACACAGACACACACACACACACACACACACACACACACAGACACACACACACACACACACACACACATTCGCACGCGACGTCTATAAGGTATACGCGCCAGGTGCAGTAGTCCGGCGGATTTTATTGGCGAGCGGGCGATCATAAAAATCAATAGTCTCGCGCGCGACGACGTCCAATACGGTCACAACCCGCCGCCGCGCGTATAATATAATACTGCAGTATACGTCCGTCCGTCCGAGCCCGCGCGCGATTGAGCGGGGCGGCCCGCGTGCTGTGAGCGTATGGAAATGTGAAGGCTCATTACGGCCCGAAGATTTATTGGCGGTCGGGACGTACCGCGGCCGCCGCGTCAAACCGTTGATTAATTACGACCGGACCATTGTGGCTGCGGCGGCTCTTCTTCCTCTTTTCCACCGCCTGCACCGCCGCCACATGAAATCCTTTAAAGTAATGTGTGTGTGTGTGTGTGTGTGTGTGTGTGTGTGTGTGACATATATGTGCACCCTGTGCCGTATGTATACAATATATACATAGCGCAGCGCTGGAAGAAAACAGCGGATATTTTATTATTACATACATATTATTATTATGTGGGTATTATAATCTACAGTGACAATTCAAAAAACCCGGCTCTCGGTAATCGTCGGCTTGAAATCTTGAACGAGTGATCAATTTTTTTTAACCGTTTTATAATGATGTTTATTTTTAAGTGTAGAGCGTATTATAGAAAAAAATCACTATATCGTATTACGACTGCGCGCATCACGGTCAATTAAAACGCAAATATCGTATCATAGTTATACAGGTATACCCAACTAGCTATTGATTTTATTGGCAGACGTATATTATTACGTTGACACTGTGATTTTCATTACCCTTTGTTGCGTTTTTAACAATTAATATATTATATGAAGTGCAGTAATTCCTCTGTATCCGCTGAAGTTAAGTTCCAGTAAAGGTCCGCGTAGTGACGATACCGCTATACAACCGTTACACAGTTTTCGTATAGTGGCGATAAAATGTATGGATTATTAAATAAAGAGTATTGCCGACTCCACCCAGTAGATAATCGAAATCGTGATTAAGAAAAATTCGAGGACAACGAGGGATTATTGGACATTATAATATATTGATACCTCCAAATAGTGATATCTCACTTGTGATATAACACACTTCGAATTAAATAATATTTTTTATTTATGATAATTTTTTATTCAAGATGTTATCACAATATTTTAGGCGGGTGAAAAGTGACACATTTTACACGAACTATCCGATACAAAAGTATGTATAAGTTTTATCCGATTTTTCATTTGAGTTACAATATAATGGTTTTAATATAATGGAAAGTGTAATATTTACAACAACAAAACCGTTTCGACTTTCAACTACAAAATCGGACCATAATATTATTTGGTATATTATGATAATATATCAACCTATTATATGTAGCTATTATGTTTGACGCATAAAAAAATCTTACCTTGTTGAAAGTAGTTGGCTTTCCGGACGTACACACACACCAGCGCCATGAGTTGCAACTGCGACAACCGTTGCCTCGTCGACGGCGGCAGGGGTAACAGGTCCCGGAGGTTTGCGATCTCTGCGTTGATCAGGTCCCTCCGAAGTTTGCTCGCCCCTTTGGTCGACTTGGTCGCGTCGAACCTACACGTACAGACACAATATGAGTATACACTAAACGATGATCATAAGTTTCTTAAACTATATTTTATCCTAAACTTTGGACAATCATTTTCAGTCTTTTCATGTAATACTGCGGGAAATGACTTACAAAGTATTTAAACTGCAGTAGTTCGGATTTTATGGTATGTATTTTGTACATTGTATCAATATGACTTTCACGAGATTGCACACAGATTCAAAATAATAACATTAATAACATAATCGGATAACCAATTCATGTTGCCGTTAACATATTACAATATTAGATATTATGTACGAATTCATAATATAATTAATACTAAAATCGAATACATCAATAATAATCCGATTCGACCTAAATAATAGAATAGAATATATTACGACAACTACGACTGAAAATGCAACAACAACAACAACAATTGCAACGATGACGCGATTATAGGACGAAAATAACGTTATAACTCGCGGTACTATAACAATAATATAATATCATAATACAATAAAATAACCACGTCGTCGCAATAAGTACGCCTACGACGTGGAACGACGTCTTAATTAAATCCTCCCCCTGGCGGCGGCTAGTTCGTAATCTATCGATTGATACCGCGCTCGCCGGTCGTTTGTGTATATATTATTATATTATATTATTATATCCCACATAATAGAACGCGTACTCGGACACGTAAGTTATATACATATTTATCGAGCGTAAACCATTTTAATACATACCTATAATACAATACGCGCAGTATATAATAATATTATTATGTACATTGTGGCACCGCGGGGCCCGGNGGGGGGGGGGGGGGAGGCCGCCGGCCGATATTTTGTGCGAGCGCGTGCGACGGCGGCGACAGCGGACGTGCAGGTACATTATCCGCGCGACCCACGCGCTCGGTTGTCCGGTCTCGACGATATCTCCGAGATTATTATAAATATATAGGCCGTCGCCGATTAATAGCGTACGATAACGGCTTACGATAATATTGTATAGATAATAACATGACACCGCCGCCGAGCGGGCGGCCGCCGGCGGAGTCGCGTTTATTGTGAGCGGACGACGAAAAATAAAAAAAACACCATCCCGCGGAAAGTTTGCGCTCCGAGATCGTCGGGTGCACAGGTAGGGGGGTTACATAGGTGTACGGCGCGTGTGTCTTATTGTTATTTCCCCCCTCGCCGGGCGTACGATCGGCGGCGATGGTTTTTTTAAAATTTTTTTATTAACGTTATTCGTCCGGCAGGTAAAAAAAAAAAAAAAAAAACGCCATGACCGGTACATGTAAACGTTGTGTTGTAGTCGCCACACGGCCGAATTTGAATATTATAATAATATACGATACGTACACGCGCGCGTCATATTATGATCTCGGCCAGGTCCATTATAATTTAAATTACCCCCGATGAAAGGTTGTACACTACAGATTAGTATACGTATTATAATATTAGTGTTTATCCGTTCTCGCCGCAGAAATATCACGCGACTCGACCATGTGAATACGCTCGTTTATAATAATAATATCATTATCCTGTTATAGTTTAATATAAATTAAATCGGTCCAAAGGTCATGCGTCATAAATGTAACCGTGCAGAGATCTATTACGCATTTATCTATACGCTCACCCTCGACATCACGGTTTAGTGCCGCGAGACAACTGCACTCGTACTTGGTATACTTATGCCCAGTTACCCATATGTATCATTGTCGTAGCCGTAGGTAATATCATAATGTCGTACATACGTCTATAATGTAGTAATGTCTATGTGGTTAAACAACTTCAACCAGAGTATCGTATACGCTTCCGTATACATGATGATAATATTATAAATATTATAATAGCTGTGACTCATATTTTCATTCCGCAATAATTGCATATTATTTCTCTGTAGTGTATATAATATAATAGTATTATATAGGTGCAGCGCTGAATCAGTGCTGTCAACTTGTTATTATACATTTATATACTTGAATGCACGTAGTCACATAGATATTGTATGCACGAGGTTGGATGATTACCTATATATACTATACCAGGTGATCCTGTGCACTCCGTTGCCCGTTAAAAATACCTATTGCATTGGAAACAGCACTTGATATATAAAGCGAACGTAGTTCATAGCACGACGCTCTTTTCGTTTTCCTGGTGTCTCCAATATCGGTTTGAAATTTCAGCTAAATCGGTCAAGTACTTTTTGAGTACTTCTATGAGCTACAGATATACGTCCAACTTATTTTAGGGTGTAAGTTCTTTATTCGGATCCATAGAAGGGACGATTTAATGTTTTACAGTTTTGCCCGGCTAACCGATGGCAACAAATACTAATTTTTCCTATTACTATTGCAATAGTATTACAATAACTGTAACCAATAAATGCCATCGTAAATCTCAAAATCTTTTCTCAAACGTCCAATAAAAAAATTAAGGTCCACTTGTCCAGATAACATCTATCCAATACTTTAAATTGGACCAAATCTCACTCATAATTGAGCATAATCTTATCAAAATCGATTGGGTAGTTTCGCAGTGCATTGCTCGTATTCTCGTAAACACGTTATATATGATTGATTTTTATGTGAGTTTAAGATTCGACTAATAACTTTATATGAATAAATGCAATGTTGCAAATTATCATATTATTTAAGAACATGGAATTTATCGTATTATATTGAGCTCGTTTGGGAATGAATTATTATTGTATACGTGTGGCTTTTGATTTTTCGTCACAAATTGTTGTTTTTAATTTATTTCCAACATATATAGTATGATCGGTGAACGCGTCTGCACATAATATTATTATATTAGTCTACAACACTTCTGACACTTCATATACATAATATATATGCATTAAAATAGTTTGTACATAATATATTTTAGTTTCGTATTACATTAGAATAAAGTGTTGTCACGTGTCAGTCTTTAAACGATATGATGAGCAGTTTTATGCAGTACGGGTGATTATGAGGGAAAACGCGTTTTGAGTTTGCATATCATACATATATACAGTTACTATAATACATATTATAATGACCTACATATTATTATTATATTATGCGGAAAGCTAAAAAAAAAAAATAAATAAATAATAACCCGCGGAGGTGTAATATGTGCGGACAAATCGCAATTAAAAAAAAAAAAAATAATAAACCAAAAAAATCGGAACCTTTCCGCCGCGATGACAGACACGACAATGACGCGCGTTCGTATGTGCGTGCGTGTGTGCGTGTGTGTGTGCGCGCGTGTGTGTGTGCGCATACACACAATATTATTATACGCGGTTGGTTCTTATATTAGATCCGCGGGTCTGCGACGACGGCTCGGCGATAGGTCCGCGGAGTAAAATATGTTACGCGTGTTTTTATATAAATTTTTAAATTACGTTCGGACGTCGACGAGGACATCAATAGCGGCGAGCTGCAGCGGCAGCGTCGGAGACCCGTCTTATTATAAATGCTGTCGTCGTCGTGAGCTGTGCACGCACACTCTCACACGCGCGAGCGGCAAGACCACTCGCACGTGAATCATTTTCTCGGCGTGTTATTCGTCATTGTCAATCTCGGGACAATTGTGGAAAAAATGTCGTCGGGGCGAGCACCGCGTCACGCCGCCCGTCGATTTCGCCTCGTTATATTGTAATAATAATAATTATTATATCGCGAGACCCGCACGTGTATAATATTATCGTTATCATTATATCACAACACACCCGTAAAATGCGAGTGTATCGCGTGATTGTAACAGTATAATATGATCGTCATCGTGTCCTGTCCACGCTAATTTTTATCAATCGCATTATTCCTCCGTCAGTTATACGCAAAAGGTTTGATCATAACATCCCCGCTTAACTATATTGTACAGTCAATTATTTTTGTTCGCAACTCCTCAACTTTTTCAGTTAAAATGTATAGTATTGAACACAATCACCGACTTAATTCACTAATCACAACGACATCTATACATTTCTTGATGTCAATAAAATATTTCTTTTGAAAACTCTTAACAAAGAGATTGGCAAACTGATTGAAAAAATATAAATTATTTTCAATAAAATAACAAAGAATGACAAGGCAGAGAAAACACAATGAAATATTGTACAAGTTACATTTAAAATCTTTAAACTCACTGCAGTTCCATACTTTATATTTCATTTAATTCCCTTTTAAATTATTAGGAAAAATAACCATGAGTAAATTTGTTCTTTTATGCATGCAATCCTAAGATTCCCTGCAACTGAGAACAATTCAATGTTTGTGTAAATCAAAATACTAGAGCACTTTATGACTTACTAATATTGTAGCTTGAAAAAATATAATTTTTTTTTAACTGAGTTATATTTATTTTATTTTCCATCTTAACTTTAAATACTTATCGAGTTAAATTTTTTATTTTTAACTTTTAACTGAATGATATTTTCTTGAATCAACTGACCTTATTACAATTCATTATTTTCATTAACTTTCACAATATATTGCGTTTCACGGGGTGATAAAAAAGGTTTGCTATGCGAATTAAAAGGTTCACACGGTGCAGTCTGTACTATACGCCGAGTCCTTACGATTTTCGAAAAATAAATTCATTACCGATCACCCCGTACAAAATATTACATCAACTGTGCGTTCCCGTCATATAATACGCACCCGCCACCAGCGGCCCACAACAGCGTATTTTCGTCGCAGCGACCACGGTGATGTTTGCACAATATTTGAAAAACAAATAACACTTGCGCATACAAGTGCGCTTGTACCTACGACAACTCATCGTGCGGCCAAAGGTACACAAATTCACGACAAAATCAATACGGAATATACGCGCCGACTTGCACTCCGACTGTATAAATTTGGGTAGGTATACTGCAGCCTACTCGTACACAATGTTATATGGGTAATAATAATATGTAATATTAAATTCCGATTGCCGAGCAGCGCGTGTTTCCCACGGCCACTCGATCACACGCCGAATATCGCGGGGCGATATTATAATAAATATATTCCATATCGGAGTTA